GGGTGGAAGATGCGCCCCCCGAGCCAGGATCAGGCTGCCAGTGCCGTTCGAACCCCCGGAGCGAGCAGAGCTGGAATGCAGCGCCGTTCTGCTCCCCCCGCCAAAAGGCGCCCACTGCGGGGCTGAGAAATGCCCCAGGGCCTGGGGGGCGGGAGCAGCTGCAACATCTGGGCTGCGGGACTCCCTGGAAAGCGGAGTCGGGGAGAGATCCCACAGCTGCACAGAAGGATGCAGAAAAGACAAGAGCCAATGAAGAGTTTAGAGAAAGGAACAAGAGTTTAGAGAAAGGAGTTTCAGGAGAGCCAAAGTGAAGCATTTCTTGCTTATATTCGTATCCCAGCCTTTTCCTTTCAGGGAACCCAAGGCTGCTGAGATAAGTGCTTCTCCTCTCAGTCTTGTCCTCAGTGGAAGGACACAGGCCTGAAAGGACTAAAACCTGGACGCCCTGAGCCCCAGTCCCGTGCTCTAACCACTGCACCACCCTGGCTCTCACAATTTGTGGGAAGAGGTGGTGATGGCCAGCCCCATTCGGGTAGCCCACCCCCCGGGTCTGATTCTGCGTGGCTGTTCCTGTGTTCTTCCATAGGAAGGCCTGTGGCCCATCACTGGGTGTGAACGAAGCCCTGGAGGGGGAAGGGTTCACACACTGCACTGAGCCAAGATGCTGCAGAGTCCGGGTTGCAAGGGAATGAGCATCGTGCTGGCACACGGGCTGTTTAGGTAGCGGAAACCACAAGCCGGGATCCTAGGTTCAGGTGACCGACTGAGTTTCCGATGAAATGAGCTGTTTCAGCTGGTGGAAAGGAGCAAGTGCACGCCATCGGACGATGTGCCACGGCAACAAGCATTATTGCCACTCACAACAATGGGCCTAATTACCTGGGGGGGGGGTAGAGGACTCCCCCCCCCACTGGAGGCATTCAAGCACAAGCCAACCGAGAGCGGTGATTTAACCTGGGGGTCCTGCCTGAGCAGCGGGTGGCATCCGATGGCCCTCCGGCCCCTTCCAACTCTGCTGTTCTGCGACTCCACTGAGCCACAGCTCTTGCGGTCCTTCTTCACTGTCCTGCGTGAACATGGCCATGATTAGCTTTCCAGGGACAGTCAGCTTAGTCAGTTG